CGCGCAAAGAAAATGTCGCATCAGCTGTGATGACCCGACGTACGCAAAGAATAGAAATCATAATACCAGAAGCAACTCAACTGAGGCATTCTTAGTAACAATCAAGTATTCTACACCAGAACCAAGCCAGGTCTTGAAACTGTTTTTGAAAGGACCCTATATATGCGCAAGAAAATATGCGCAAGAAATACTGTCGGTGTAAACAACGCCAGTAGTGGTTGCAGTGCTCACTATCTAACTTTATGAAAATATATTTAGCAATACTTATGGTGAGCTAATACTGTGATACAGATGCCATGTCTGCCTAATATCAATTATGGTTGCAGTACGTGTTGGCTCGGCGTTTGTAATATCATCGGATAAAGAGTACAAATGTTCTGATATGACTCAGCAAGCTAATATCAGGAGTCGTGCGAGCCCGGAGAAACACGACCAATGCTACGTATAGTGTTCACCCCATCACTCACCAAATGTGAATCGCACTGTGGCCTGCGCGCTTCGTTTGAATAAAACAAATTTACTTCCCTGACGTTACGTCGGATGATATAAGTTACCCTTAAAACGTCGGTGTATAGTCGGCATGGCTGGCCAGCCGACTATGTCCACACAACTACTCCGTCTGCAAACACACGTCAATCCACTTCAATACAACTGACTCAAAGTAAAAAAAACGCAGCATAGCTGCCTCGCACAAAACCGATCCACAATGCATGGCACCAGCCGAATCTTTACTAATACATTGGTATTGTATCTAATAACAGTATCAGAGGTTTAACATCCCAAAACCACGATATGACTATGGGAGACACCGTAGTGGAGGGCTCTGAAAATGTCGACCACATGGGGTTTTTGAAGTGCACCTAAATCTAAGTACGTGTGCCCCCGACTTATTTGCCTCCATTAGAAATGCAGCCACCGCAGCCGGGATAAGATCCCGAAACCTTCTATTTGTTATTAGGGGGGTTTATAATAACCTCCACAGGCGTTACGGGCGTAGTAGGGAGCCATATGACTTTTAGAATAGCATATGCCCCCCCCCCCAAAAAAAAATGTAAGGACTTTATTCCCCCCCCCCCCCAGCAAACCGAAAAGCACAGAAGTGCACCGCCATCTCCCACCTCGCATCCCCTGTGGCACATACCCGCTCTAGAGCGGGTATGTGCCACCGGTGGCTACCTACTGCTACTACTACTACATACATAGGAGCATGGGCCGACCCACGCCTTAAGGAGATTCGCCACTAAAAGTAAATTACAAGGCTAACCAGGAAAAATATTTGCCTGCGTGCACTCCCATAGTAGTGGTGATTTAAATTTGATCGATTGAGATTTAATAGCACAAGCATCAATGTGAAATCACGCGGTGATTTAGTTCTGCTAATGACTGTAAAAGAAAGCAATAATAATTAAGGTAATAAGGTGGCGAGAAAATATCGAGCCGCCTGACTGGCCACCGGTCGCTTGTGTCCGTGTATTTGCCAGTTCTTGAGGCGATTGCACTGTGCTATTTTTTTTTTTCTGTCGATTACCGGCTAGCTCTGTCATATACATACAGAAAAGCCGTGGCATGCGTTTTCCAATGAAACAGCAAGGGCGCATATGAAAAGACGCAATCGGTGGCAGCCTTTCGAATGCTCATATTTGGCAGCTGATAAGAACACTCGGTATTGAGCGTGTCTAAAAAAATAATGAAAAGTACGAAATATAAACCGAGCACTACTGCTCCCCCCCCCCCCTCCCCTCAATGCAAGCTCCGCGACACACTCATGAAACTCGCGAGGTCTCAATCGGCGGCGCGGCGGCGCGGCGGCGCGTTCAGGCGGCGATCAAGTGATGGATCGCGTTGGCTTTTCGTGCCATGCGGCGTGTAGCCGGCCAACTCGCGGTCGATTCCCTTTGGTAGGCGAAAGCGGCGATCAGATTGACTGCGCGCCAGGTCCCCTCGTTCACTCGGCGCTTTGTATGCCGCAAAGCGCGCGCCTTGGAGGCTCCAGTAGCGTATCCTTATACCGTGCTATATACAAGTGTCTACGCGCGTCGTCCGTGGGTTTGCGGAATTATAATAATTGTATTATAAAAAAGTTATTTTGGCATAATGTACTGATACAACAATTGCCTTGTAGTGCCGACTCCACTGATACAGTAACGGTGCAACGGTGTGGTGAGGCTTCGCGCTATACTGAAATAAATAATCGAGTATTTCACGAATATTCCGGTCACAGGGCAACAATCATCTTTCTCGCGTTTCCTTTTTTTTTCTTTTCTGAAAACTCAGCGTTCGTCACTTAGGCATTAAGAATGCTATGCAGCATTGATAGCATGCACTGATAGCACTGCTTCGGGGGTAACGCAAGGAAAGGACTTAAGATATATAAATCTATCTATCTATCTATCTATATCTATCTATCTATCTATCTATCTATCTATCTATCTATCTATCTATCTATCTATCTATCTATCTATCTATCTATCTATCTATCTATCTGTCTATCTATCTGTATATCGATATATCTATCTATCTATCTATCTATCTATCTATCTATCTATCTATCTATCTATCTATCTATCTATCTATCTATCTATCTATCTATCTATCTATCTATCTATCTATCTATCTATCTATCTATCTATCTATCTATCTATCTATCTGTCTGTCTGTCTGTCTGTCTGTCTGTCTGTCTGTCTGTCTGTCTGTCTGTCTGTCTGTCTATCTATCTATCTATCTATCTATCTATCTATTTGTCTATCTATCTGTCTATCTGTCTATCTATCTATCTATCTGCCTACGACCTTCAGCTGTCCTGGCCGTTTCGATAATGGGATCTATTCCAAAGTTCGTATGGCATAACATGAATGTACGACGAGCATAAGTTAGTAATCAGAACATGAAAATCATGACATGTCTGTCATGAATGTCATGATTTACATGTCTCACACCGTCTTGCAGCTCTTGCGGTGTATTTGTTCACATTATATATTGCTAAACTGGTATGATATGACATGACTGAATGGCGAACATAAGTGACAGGCCCTAATGTGGATATCATGACAGCGGTGTTATGCAAGCCATAACTACACGCCACGCGGTATACCAAACTTGGTATCGCGTGACGTGAATTAATGACGAAGTTAAATGACTTGTGTGAACATGATAGTCACGACATGCGTGTCATGTAAGAACATGACTACATGCCATGCTTATGATGCGCTTGCGGTCGTTTCGCTAGCTTCACATATACCAAATTTGGTAATACGTGACTTGAATGGATAGCGAATTTATATGACCGGTTCAAACATGATGATCATGACGTGCGTGCCATGTAAAACATGACTCATGCTATGCTCATACCGCACTCGCAGCCGTTTTCGCTAGCTTCACATATACCCAATATCATATTATATGAAAACTAAATCGATGGTGAACACAAATTCCAGGCACAAACACGATAATCATGACATGGAAGTCATGTACGGCATAACATATCAACCTTCCTCATTCGTGCTTCACATATTGATTCCCACTGTACGCGGGATCTGCCTATTTTAGTGTTGCGTATTCTAGTTCACATGTGTAGGTATGCGTCTAATTTTCTTGCGAGCGATGTATAAAATTTGCGATTACCTATCGATCATCAGTATAATATTGATTGATTGATTGATTTACATTCGCACAGCATACATATTCATTAGCAGATTGGTCAAGATAATTTCATAATACCTAGTTTTTCGAAAAGAACTCCTCATCGCATAATTTCTTCATTGGTTCAGTTTGAGAGCGTGTATATGTGTATATGCAGTTACAAAACAAAGCTTATATTCTCAGCTGAATTACAAAACGGTCGTTTATATGACATAAAATTCATTGTTTCGGTAAAATGATAGGGCGAAATGACGCTGACTCGGCCACATTTAGATCTCCATCGACATGTAAGATTGAAGTCGGCTTTTTTGCATAACGCCGACTTCAATTCGCTTAGATTTACTGACGACCACTGATATTTCTGCCAGCTCACCTAATGTTTCCGTGAGCATGAGCAGCAGCCCCATTAATGTTCTTTTTTTTTTAATTCGCAGATATGAGGCAGCGCACAGCGCAGGTTATGTAAAACTTATGACTGAAAATAGGTACAATACAAAAAAAAGAACCTCTGAAACGGAAGAACCTCATTAACGTTCTATCATTCATTTTTATCACTTGTATATTTTTTTGTTCTTCTGAGGCAAGTGATGACACCAGATGCCCATCTCTTGTCTTCGCAAGAGACGACATTGCGGCCTGTTTGCGAAAGCCGCCATTTTCATGACTTCTGTGACACAAAACTGACATCTGTGGAATGTGCGTTTTTTTTTCTGCGGATCGCATTCGCCAAGCCCGCTCACCGCATCCGTCCTCATCCATCTCTATCAAGCCCATCAGCAGGAACAACTGCCAGCGCATATATGCTGGCGTGCGCATCATCCTCCGTTTGTCGCACGAGAGGCGGAAATTTCGAAATCATGTAAGAAAGAGATGGGGAATCGAAGGGCAAGAAAGCGCAGTCGGCACCTGCTCACCTCCTCCACCAGACCTCCTGGCCTCCCTCACGCATACACACAAAATTTTGCCTCCAAGAGGAGACAGTGTGATCTATATAGGAGAACTGTGTTATTTTTTCTTTCAAATTATATAAAATACGGCGATACGTCCCACGCGAACTAATTAGCACGAGTAACAAACGCGCACATTGCAATTACAGTGCTTTTAATCAATAGCCCGTGGAGACCACCGACCAACCGATCTCTCGGTTGCTCTTGAAGTGTTTGAGAAAGAAAGGAAAAAAAAACGAACGAAAGAAAGATTTTGATTTATATGTGGTGTTTAACGTCCCAAAACCACCATATGATTATGAGAGACGCCGTAGTGGAGGGCTCCGGAAATTTCGACCACCTGGGGTTTTTTAACGTGCACCCGAATCTGAGCAAACGGGCCTACAACATTTCCGCCTCCATCGGAAATGCAGCCGCCACAGCCGGGATTCGAACCCGGGACCTACGGGTCAGCAGCCGAGTATCTTCGCCACTAGACTACCGCGGCGGGGCAATAATAATAATAATAATAATAATAATAATAATAATAATAATAATAATAATAATAATAATAATAATAATAATAATAATAATAATAATAATAATAATATAATAATAATAATAATAATAATAATAATGCAACATCCAGCGGCTTTTGCTAGAATTATTTGAGTGAAGAATTTGGCGCTCTCAGCATAGCCAAGTCCAATACTATAGAACCAACGTTACGAAGAAGTCAGTCATGGTGCATGAGATGGCTGATGCCATTGAAAACATCAACCATCTAACGTGCATTGATCTGCGGCGCCGCAAACAGTATACCGCAAGGCACTCGGAAGTACGGATTGGGCACGGCGTCTACGAACTGCCGCGTAAGTAATCTAGCATGAGACATTTGATGGGCATAGTGAAACGCCTAGGAGAGCTCAACAAACGACAAGCACCCGCTAAGCGCCAACACGCGCACTACTCTTCCATGCTGAACAGCTAGCTCACTGAGAACATTCGATTGAAACCGGGGGCATGCATTTACGTGCAAGAACGACGAGAAGGAAGACGGCAGTGCTGTGCATGTGTGTATTCATAAGATGCTAAAGGAGGGTGGACATTTCCTTCATCCTGTTCGTTCCTATAGAAAGCCATCCTATTCCGTTTATTTTGCAGTATGATTCGTCTGGGATGAGTGGGTGATTTCTGGCTAAGTTAGGACTATACTGGAAGCTGGACACCTGGTGCTCTTCGCCTCTCGCGAAAACACTGGTCTCAAGCAGCGTCCAGCAAGCTATCGCTTAGATGCAGGCGAAATTTATTTTGAGTGTCAGATGGAGAGAAGTACATGATACTCTCTGCATGACTGGATCGTATTAAACGGGCTTCTGGAAAGTGACTATAACCACAGGGTAGGGTTCAATATGCATGATGGAACTCGGACGGCGAGGCTCGATTTTGCACAGAGAATCAACCACATCGCCCGCACAGCGCAATCAGTTTGTGCAGGACTTGAATGTCGTGGTCGGCGAAAATACAGATAGACCACTATCACTTCCCATGAATGATAGAAGTGCTACAACATTTTGGCGTACTCTGCTCGGTATACAGTATAAAATGTTGCCGTGAGCCCATTAAAGTGTTCCATGCACCGGGGCAGTCCAAACTCTCTATGCGAGTGAGATTGTAGTTACACGTGCATGTCCACATCTAATGTACTGCCACTTCTTATCAACCTATATTGCCTTATCACACTTTTCATTCTAGCTAGACGTTACTTTCAACATGCATATTTTCACATTGACAAACGACACGCGATTCATTTGTCTAAGGATATTTGTGCGCAAAGGACTGGTGTTCTGAACGGCATCTGAACGTGATGTGAAGCGACGCTTGCGCCTTAAGTGAAACATTTATTATTTAATTTCTCTTTACAAGTATGCGTTTGACGATTCCGGTGTACCTTGTAAGTTAGCTGACATAAAGATATGCCGCTTCAATGTGTTCCCATGTTCTACAAATATATTCGAAGCCCTCCACTACGGTATCTCTCATAACCATAAGGTAGTTTTGCCACGTTGAACCCCAACAATTATTATTTTTGTACCCTACAAAGCGCATCAGCAAAGCTTCAATTTGAGCAAAAACGTCATGCATTGCGCCATACCAACGTCGTTAAATTTAATGAAGGGGATGGTTCTGCCTTGCGTTGCAGACGTATCTCCACTTGGCAAGTTTCATAAGTCGGCCCGTGCCACCAGAGCTAGAGTGTACTAAAACAGTCTATCAGAGTCAGCAGCAACGCGCCTTTTTACACTAACTAGACCATACGTGACGTTTCTGCTGCACTTGAAGTTTAACCACTGCGCTTTTTTTAGTATTCAGAAATGTGCGCCAACGTACAGCCTATTCGTTACATCTTCTTACTTCAACTTTAAAAATACGAGCTTTATTGTCAAAGCTTAGAAATCTTTCACCTTCCTCTCCGCATTTTCTAAAACAGCATAACGGCGTAGCTCCTTGTTTTTGCAATGCAGTTGAACAAGGTTGCAATATTTGTTTCGTTTAACTTGACATGCAAAGCAAACTATAGGCATCCTTCCTCACAATCAGTGCTCGCTGTGGCAGCTTAGCAGACAAGGTGCCCTAAACGGGTTTGATTCATGGCCACAGCAGTATCATTTTGATGGGAGCGAAATGCGAGGGAACCCATGTACTTAGATTCAGTATAATAATAATTTATAGGCCTTTCGAGTGCCACAACCATCATGTGAATATGAGGCGTGCCGGAGCAGGGCTTCAGAAGTTTAGACCATATAGATCACCTGGTGTTCTTTAATGTACACTGACACCAAGCGTAACATGGGCCTCTAGCATATCGCTTACATCGAAATGCGCTGACATAGGCCTTGCCACCGCTGAAACGTGACCAACTAAGTTGTTTTTTTTTTCACTTATTACGAAATTTGTTTTCACTATTTCATGCCTTATTTGATGACTAACAGCAGCTGTATGTTAGAATGTATGCGCGTGTGTTTTTTCATGCGAACGCAACTGAAAACAAGAAACAGCTGCACACATTTTGAACTGTTCAAATCACCTGTGTTAGCGCTTACCCCTACGGTGGTTACGCACTGCGTAACTGTGTCATAACTGAACATGAATAAGATATATATCTATATATTATTTCATCCAAGTGCGCCAGACGTGCTGCGCCCCCTCTTAAAGTTTGTTTACTTATGCTCAACTGTGCCTCAGAGAAAAATGAACATAAAATATATTTTTGTGCGTTGACCTTCGAAACGATGTTTGAGCTGCTACTACAGAGAGTTTGTTTAGTTCTGCTACTAGATCACTTCGAAATTTTTGTGTTCACCTGCCAGCTACGCCTTTTCAAAAGCAACGAAAATCTTCAAAGTTCACTATTTTTTTATGCTAGCCAAAACTTTCTTTATTCGATCTTAATATTAGTGTGGTTTTTAGGAAAGCGTAAGTTATCTTAAAAATGTTCAGGGGCGAAATATACTTCGCATGTACCCGTAACGAAATTCTGAAATAAAAAAAGTACAGGATTTGTTTCATATTTGACCATATTTTTTGCACAGATACACTCAAATTAAGAATCTTCATAATGCGGCGTTTGATAGACAGCTTCATTTCTATGTACTGAAAGAAGTCTGATCACTTTTTTTTAATTTTTTTTGAAGAAAGAAAATTTTATTTGAAATTGGCCCGTATAACGCAACCGGCCTTCCTTTTGTTGCCACTACGCCGCAAAACACATGGCGGCCCTTGCAACTGACCCTCGCCACAGGAGGCTGCAAGATGCAAGATGTATGTGAGTGGTCGACAGTCTTGTTACTTTGATATTGAGGCTAAACTATTGAGTTCGCTTTACGATGCAGGCTTGCTTGGCGGGCCCATTGAGAATTATCGACGCCAGACAGCGGCTGACACCTGCTTAGGGTATCATCAGCACACTGTGCTACAAGGCCTTCTGCACAACCGGTATACACATAACGGAAAAAAAATGCGTACTGTGGACACTTTTCGTTGTGTATTCTAAGCATTTCGTCAATCGCGCTTTTCGCATTGTGTTTCCAAATGCTGCACAGTTTCCTTGATGCTGCTGCAAATGGGCAGCACCTAAAACGAATACAACGACGCGCAAATATGACAGGACATGCGCTCTACTCACAACTACTGCGTTGTCAGTAATGCGCATGCCCTGTCCTGTGTAGCGCATTTACAACCCAAACCAACTCATCGGAGCCACCTATCTCTCTATTGGCAATTTCGTTTTCTTTATACATAAACCACATCACGCGTATTCATTGATTGATTGATATGCGGGGTTTAACGTCCCAAAACCACCATATATGATTATGAGAGACGCCGTAGTGGAGGACTCCGGAAATTTTGACCACCTGGGGTTCTTTAACGTGCACCTGAATCTGAGCACACGGGCCTACAACATTTCCACCTCCATCAGAAATGCAGCCGCCGCAGCCGGGATTTGATCCCGCGACCGGCGGGTCAGCAGCCGAGTACCTTTTCCACTAGACCACCGTGACGAGGCGCTCGCGTAATCACAACCACCATTTATTCGAGGTCACTCCTACAATTCACCGTCTGCTGTTTAGTTTAGGTAGCACAATTTTAAAGTTTGGTCAACTTTCACTGTGACGGCGCAGCCGTGGTGATTACAACAACAAGCATGGTCCCGTTTTTCCTTGTCCGCCCATTCTCGCTCGTTTCTCGTTGTTTTACTTCCGCGCATTCAAGCGAGAAACTAAACAAACAAAAAAACGCCATATATGTCCAGCCTGCCAGGTGATATAGAGAGGTGTCGGAAAAATTAATATCACCTAAAAAACAGTGTAATGTGAGTACTTCAGATACATAATAATGATGTTTAAATGACTGCAGCTATAGTGCAGTGATCCCTCGTGAAGAGTGAAAGAGATGCGTTGGTATTTGTGGAATATAGATGTTACGTTAACGAAACTCATTGCTGTTTCAGGGACCTCTTTACGAGCACGCCATATACTAAATCTGCTTTTGATTTATTACAAAGTTCTCAGCTAATGATGCGAAGGTCGCGCGTTCGATCCCCGACGGCGGCGGTCCCATTTCAATGAAGGTAAATGCCGGCGTACTGTGCAAAATCAGAGCACATTAAAAACACCAGATGGTCGAATTTCTGGAGCCTTTCATGCATTACGGCGTATTTCATGACTCTATCATGGTTTTCAGACGTAAAACCCCAGATGATGTTTCTATATAAGACGCGAAATAAACAAATTTGACGTCTTCTGCCACGAGTAAATGAAATTTTCACAGCCTGAACAAATTTATCATTGACTCTTAAATACAAATGTCAACATCTCTATCTCGATGTTTTTTTTTATTCTTCCTCGCGTAATGACTTTTTATGCGCCAAGATGAAGTTTTCGCAGCTCCGTCGAGTCCACAGGGGTCTCAGCTGTCAGAAGTAAAGTATAATTCAGGAATTGTGAA